ATGGGGAAAGGTCTGGAGCACAGGTCTGATGAGGAGCAGCTGAGGGAGCTGGGGGTGTTTGACAGGAGGAAAGGAGGCTCAGGGGGACACTGTCACTCTCTACAACTGCCTGAAAGGAGGGTGCAGCCAGGTGGGGTCAGGCTCTTCTCCCAGGTAACAAGAACTGGACAAGAGGACCAGGGGAAATCTAGATTGTACATTAGGGAAAATTTCTTTCATAAAAGGCATCAGAGCAGACTGCCCAGGGAATTGGTGGAGTCTCCATCTCTGGAGATTTTTAAAAGTTGTATATATGTGACACTGAGGGTCATGGCTTAGTGGTGTGCTTGGCAGTGCTGGGTTAATGGTTGGACTTGATGATGTCAAAGGTCTTTTCTATCTGAAATGATTCTGTGATTCTGATTTTAAAACTTTAAACTGAGCGCCTGGCTGTGTCTGTGGATGCAGTTTGGCTCTTTTGCAGCTGCTCTACAAGGGATTCCTGCACAGGAAGGGTCAGGTGTGATAGTGGAGCGGGGCATTGCCTGGAGCAGGGCACTCCCTCTGCCCGGCACTGATGTTCCCAGGACCAGCCCTGCCATCGCCTCTGCAGCACTGTCAACTCAACCATTTCTCAGACCACAGTGTGAATCTGCCCAGGGAACTGATTTGAGTGAAAATAAACCAGCAAAACACAGGGCACAGGAACCTGTGCCTGCCCACCTGCAAAAGCAGAGGAAGCTGCATAAGGAAAGGGATGTGGAGAAATTTGGGGAGGCAAAAAGCCAGCGAGAGCACTCTGACCCTCTGGTTACAATGTGCCTCAGCATGAATGAGGTTATTCCTCTTTCTCTTTCCCAGAAAGCGTGGGTGAGGTGTGAGCTGACTGAATATTTACAACTCATTTCATGCAGCTCTTGTGGAGGGAGAGGATAGTTACCATTGTCTGTGATAACCATCCGCCTGCACAAACCACAGGGGCAGGAGCCTGACCCCTTCAGCCACCCCTGGACACTGTAGGTGTCTCGTACACCTCCATGCATCCCTCTCCATGGGGAGGCAGCAGGAAGGGGCTGTTCCTCCACGGACACCACTTGTGCCCCATGGAAAGCCCAGGAGGTGCTTGCTGGGCTGAGCTAGGGGCTGTGCCCAGAGTGGTGGGCACAAGGAACCTGTCCCAATTGCCTGGGGCCTTTCCTTGTCCCACAGCAGGATGCTGAGCTCTCAGACAGACCCTGGTGCTCCAGCCCTGCCTTTTACAGGACTTTCTTCCCTGAACCATGCATTTACCTGGCCTGATGTGGTCCATCCCATCCTGTCCCTCACAGTGTGGCCTGGAGCCCCTTGAGGTGCTCCCTTGGACCCCAGAGCCCCAGCTCCCACCACTTCATCCTCCTGCAAGGCTGATACTGCCTATCCCCCGGAGATCCAGGGAGGAGAAGCAACTGAGGAGCTGCCTGTGGAAGCTGGAAGGGGCTGCCTGGAGCCCAGCTCAGCTGCTGTGCCCGGATGGCGCTGTTGGCAGCACAGGGCTGGCACGAGCACCCTGGGGAGTCACCCAGAGCTGCTGGCCAAGGATGTGGGAGGTCCTGCAGTGCCAGGGGGAATTCTGCCCCTCTGCTCAGCTGAGACCCCACCTGCAGAGCTGCTTCCAGCTCTGGGATCCCCAGCCTCAGAAGGGTGTGGAGCAACGGGATGAGTCCAGAGGAGGCCATGGAGATGCTCTTGAGGGCTGGAGGCCGTGTGCTGTGGAGACAGGCTGGGACACCCGGTGCTGTTCAGTCTGGAGGCAAGAAAGTTCTGAGAACTGCGAGCCTCTTCCACTGCCTAAGGGGCTCTCTGGATTCTTCGCTTCATTTTTCTGCCAAGGTCAGGATTAAATGCTTGAGACGGTATTTCTTGTTTGGACTCAGATGTTTATTAATTCTTACCTATATTACAGTCTCACAAAGCGTGAGTTCTACAGCACTTCACTAACAAATTTAAAATGGAGCTGTATCTCTTACAAGGTGTTTTAAGGATAAACTGTCCAATTAAGAAATGATACCTAAAATATTTTTACTTTTAACCCAATAACCAACCACCCATGACCCACAATGTGGACTTTTTGATCCAATTACACAATATCACCCCAACCCATGAAGAACAAAGTGGAGAAGGACTAGCCATCACCCTAAAATCTCCATCTTGCCTTATATATATATATATATATTACTATATTCCAAAACCTTAAACTCTAAGTTTTCCACCATGTGATATTACACACTTCTATTCAAACTACATACCCATAATCCCAGTTCTATCATTAAATTTTGGAAGCCTTCTCCATGGCCTCAGGTCAAATGCAGTGTTCTCTTGGGAGTCAGTGCCTGTCAGCACAGAAAGTCTAAAATTCTCTTGTAACCAGGGTTCCAACATCTCCCCCTCCTGTTTGAACCACGAATACTGCTTTGACAGCTTTGTCAAACCTCTGTCAGATACACTGAAGTCGACAAGGTATCTGTGCCTTGTCCCCCAGATATTAAGTTTTTGGTTGACTCATGGGCAGGATCACGTTACTTAAGGCAAACAAGGAAGTAATAAGGCATGAGTATGACATCTGACTTAGTTTCATATTTGTCTTTGATTTCCTTTCTGATTCAAGGTGCTAAGTTATTTCTTTTGCATTCAGCTCCACAAATTTGAACCTCCTTTAATTCCTTCCAAAAACTGCGGAGACAAGGACTATTTTGTTTCTTGTGATGTGATACAATTTAAATTTCAATGGCCTTATACCTCCTATGAAGTTCTGAATTGTAGCACAATACACACCACACTTCTGCCAACAAGGCCCTATGATACCAACAGGGCTCCAAAAGACCTGGGGAGGGACAATGGCCTGGGAGGACAAGACAAGGAGTAATGGCTTCAAATTGACAGAAGACAGGGTTAGATGGGTTATTACAAAGAAATTCTTCCATGTGAGGGTGGTAAAACACCAGCACAGGTTGCCCAGAGAAGCTGTGGCTGTCCCATCCTTGGAAGTGTTCCAAAGCTAGATTTGATGTGGCTTGGAGCTACCTGGTTTAGTGGAAAGTGTCCTTGCCCATGGTGGGGGGGGCTTTAAGATGTTCCAGTCCAAACTGTCTCTGTGGTTCCTGCCTGCTCTTCCCCAGCCTCTGCACTGGATGTCCCTGCAGCCCCCCCGACCTGCAGGCAGCTGGACAGGCATTGTGCTCCCAGCCTTCCTGACAGGTAATCCCATGGGACACTGTCTTCCTCCTGCCCTCCTACCCTGGCTGCTTACTGCTCTCAGTCTTTGCCAGTGAGTTCTGGCAAAGTCCTTCATGGCTGGTAGAAGGTAGAAGAAGGAAGAGAAGGAGTCACTCTTGTGTGGAACTGCCTGTGGAAAGTTTACAGAGAGAAGGTATGAGGGCTTTTGTCAGAACTCAAAATGTCCCTCAGACATTTTTGGATGTCCCGGGCCCAGGTCAGAAGTATTTGAGACCCTGGCAGGCAGCTGGAAACAGCTGTGATTTTGGGTTTGAACCATGGAATGATTTACCAACCTTGCAGGAAGAACAAGAAGTCACAAAAGTTTAGATATTAGAGTAGAAGTAGTCACAAAGTAGAGGGAAGAATTTTTGAGTGCTGTACAGGGGGGTTTTGGTTTTGTACATGGGGGTCAGAGGTTTTAAGATGGAGGGATTTGGGCCTGCCCTGTCCTCCCTCTTTCTTCTTCCTTACCTCCATGTTCTTGGTGATGTTGGCACTCACAGATTGGTTTAGAGTAAAAAAGCACCATTTAATATAGGTAATAGGCACTGGGGAAAAACTGTAAACATGTAACACGTAATGTACCATATAAAAGATAGCAGCAGCCAGGGGTGGGGGGGAAGAAGAAGAAGAAGACAGGAGTCAGAGAGGATGTCAGGGTGTGTGTGTGCCTCTGCCTGAGCTGCTGAGCAAACCACAGCAGCTCAAGGAGAAAATCTTTTAGATAACTTGCAATAAACTACCTTGAGACCCAACAACAGAAGAGTCTTTCTTTGAAAGCATGGATTGGAGGAGAGACTTTTCCACCACACGGAGCCACCCCGACCTAGGGGTGAGCTCTGGCACCTGGCATCCCTGGATGGGCAGAGGCAAGAAGCCAATCCATCAAGCGACCTCCAACCCCCACCAGAAAAAGGCACACGCACACACTCACCAAAGACTCCAAAGAGAGAGGGAGCAGAGAGTTCAAGACAAAACATCCTGACCTTCATCAAGACAACTCGTCTCGAGAACAGCCCGGAGAGGAGAAAAACCAGAAGCGTGCCAGGGATTTCTCACCTGTGACCTGCTGGATGGAGATCAGTGCCATCTCCAGACTGATCTCGTGCTGACTCAGCTTTTGGTGAGAACGGTCAAAATTAAGGACATGGGGGTGGGATACTGCCAGGACCAGACTTAAATTTTATCAGCCCTACAGGGGATGGTGTCCACACATCCTGTGGAGATAGCTCCAAAAGAGCTGAAAGCCCTGTTGTTGTGGGTGCGGTGTAATTACCCGCACACAGAGACACATCTTTTCTTTGAATCAAATTTTTGGCAAGGGATCAATAAGCAGCTATGCTACCGAGCCACAAAAAAAGATAAGATTGCTGCGAAACTTTTGCCTTTGGCGAGAACAATATTAGAGTCACTTTCGCAACGTGGCAAGGGGTCTGTCATTTTACACCAGACAGGGAAGGATGCAGGTGAGCGTGTAGTGCTGAGGGAAGAGGGGGATGAGCGGCACAAAACACCCCGTGGCACAGGCAAGAGTGGGGGGACCGTGGGGCCAGGGTGGGAGTGTCCACACCCCTGTGATGATGAAGCAGGGATGGGGTGTGACCAGGGTGCCAACACCTCTCAGGGTACCGCCCCTCCACCATTCCCATGTCAACACATGCAGCCAGCTCGGGCCCACAGCCAATCCCAGCCAGCCTTAGACACTGCAAAGTTAAAATAAAAAGTCAATATCCCAGACTGCAGGATTTGAAAAAGTGACTCAATTGTTAGAAGAAATGCTCAAAGATTTATTAGAGATACAAATAGGGACGCAAACACCACAGCCTTTCGTAATCCCGACCTCAGCCGGTCGGGGGCAGCGCCACTGCGCCACCCAGTCATGGGACTGAAACATTGCAGCACTTCTTCCCAGCTTCATACAAGAAGGGATCCAGGGGGAAGAAGACCACACCTGCACGACAGCGGGAACCTCCGTGGACCCCAGAACAGCATGGGACTCAGGACACTTCTGCTGAGGTGCAGCAACAGGATGATACTCTATGCATCACTGCTTCGGAGGGTGCCCCTGCTTGGACAATTTCAACATCAAGCTCTGCCGATTTTTCAGGTCAGGGAGAGTCAATTTTAATATCAAAAGGGGTTGTCGAGTTTCTTTTACGGTACTTGAGCACAGCCTTGGAGTCGCATCCAGAGCTGTTGGTTCACCTTCTGCAAATTTTCCAAATAATGCAGGGCAGTCGTGTGTTCTCCTCCACAGCAGATGCTCCATTTTTATCCAGAAGCACCCAGCCTTCATCTTCGCAGATGCCACACACGCCGTTGGTATCGGTGAGTGCTGCTGCACCAAAGCTGCAGTCACCACAGATGACTCCACTCTACAGGCAAGTACCCACAAAATTTCCAGCTTCGCTGAGCACAGAAGTGCACTGGCAGGACATTCCAGCAGAATTGGAAAAGGAGAAAGGTTTATTGCAGGGCTTGGGAAACATAACGATGCCAGTGAACTATGATGCTCAGGCCAAAACCCGCGGTGGGAACGCCTGGATCGTGGTGCGATCAAAGACCCAGCCAAAGCCATTCAAGATAGAGGGTTGTCGTCACCATATTTCAAACAAATGTTGAAAAGCATTTTTGGCATGTATGATTTAACACCATATGATCTTAAATATCTCGCAACATCAGTTCTTACATACACCCAAGCTCTTGTGTGGCAGAAGGCGTGGAGGAGATCCCTGGAGGAGCTGAGAGCCAGATACCAAGGCGGACCAAACACAAACCTCACTATGGTGCAGCTTGCTGGTGATCCTCCCAAAGATGACCCAACTCAACAAGCAGTGAGGCTTCCGCAGAACGTGCTCAGCGACATCAAAGAGGCTGCATAAAGAGCAATTCTACAGATTGCCCCGGCGGGAGTCCAGGACAACATCTACACCGAGATCAAGCAGGGTCCTTCGGAGCCATTCTCCTCGTTCGTGGATCGTCTTTCCCAGGCAGTGGAACAACAAGTGATGGATGAAGGAGCAAAGCCACATATAATCAAAAGCCTCGCTTTTTCCAATGCCAACCCACAATGCAGGCGAATCATCAGCATGATGCCACACCAGGCCACCTTGGCAGACATGATCGAGGCGTGCAGCAAGGTGGGGACACGACAACATGTCGCATCCATCATGGAGGAACAGTTGGGAGACCAAACTGAAAAGCGTGTCAAGGAAGCTCTTGCAAATTACACAGAGCAACACCAGTGCAGAAAGTTCGTGACTGTGTGATTGCACAGGTGCAAAAAGCAGGACTAGAAATCAGTGCACCAAAAATACAAGAAATTGCACCTTGGAAACACCTGGGATGAAAGATCACAAAGCAAACAATAAGACCACAGAAACTGGAAATCAACACAAAGGTCACCAATCTGCAGGACTTGCAACAGCTTTTGGGGGAAATCAACTGGATGAGACCGATCTTGGGAATCACAAATGATGACATCTCGTCATTGCTCGACCTCTTGAAAGGAGACAACAACATCAAATCTCCCAGAACTCTGATGCCTGAAGCATGGAAAGATCTTGAGAAGATCACAGACATGATTCAACAGAGACAAGCACATCGCTTTGTGAAATCACTGCCTTTTCATTTGGCAGTGCTGGGGGAAACAGCACAATTGTATGGGTTGATTTTTCAGTGGGATTTATCTCAAATGGACCCTCTATTGTCGATAGAGTGGGTTTTTTTTTAGCTTACAGGCCCTCAAAAACAATCCTCACAGATTTAGAGATGATAGCTCAAATTATTATTAAGGCAAGGACCAGGTTGCTGACAATGTCAGGCAAAGATTTCTCAATCGTTCATTTACCTTTAAAGAAAAAATATTTTGAGTGGGCAGTGCAAAAGTCACAAGATTTTCCAATCGCATTGTTAGGGTATCCAGGAGTTTGCACAGTTCATTTTCCAGCTCACAGAATGTTAAATGCAAAAATAAGTTTTAGAGAAAAACCAAAAATAAGTCAGGAACCAGTGGAAGGGGTGACAGTGTTCACTGATGGTTCAGGGAAAACTCACAAATCAATGATCACATGGCAAAACCCAAAAATGGGGAAATGGGAATCAGATATCAAAATGGTACAGGGTTCACCACAAATTGTGGAATTGGCAGCAGTGGTCAGGGTTTTTCAGTTGTTTCAGGAACCCCTTAATCTGATCACAGATTCAGCATATGTTGCAAATGTGGTCAAACGATTAGAAGGATCACTTTTAAAGCACACAGACAATGACATTTTATATTCATACCTATCGTGCATGAGAACAATCCTAGAAAACAGAGAGCACAAATATTTTGTTACACACATCAGAGCGCATTCCTCACTTCCAGGGTTTTTAGCAGAAGGGAATGCTCATGCAGACAAGCTCACAATGCCCATCTCACAGACACTGCCAGACATTTTCGAGCAAGCAAAATTGAGCCATGCATTTTTCCACCAAAATGCACAAGCATTGATAGAATCCTTTTGCCTTTCTAAAAGCCAAGCAAAGGAAATCATCAGCTCTTGCCCATATTGCCAGCTTGTGCAGCCACCTGCATCCACAGGAGCAGTCAATCCGAGAGGATTGCAAAGTCTCCAGCTGTGGCAAACTGATGTCACAAAATATCCATGTTTTGGGAGGCTCAAAAACATTCATGTTTCAGCCAACACATTTCCAGGGGCAATTTTTGCATCATTACATACAGGGGAAACCACAGAACATGCCTGCAGACATTTTTTACAAGCATTTGTATCATTAGGGGTGCCACAAGAAATAAAAACAGATAATGGCCAAACTAACACAGGCAAGGTGCTTGACAAATTTCTGAAAAAATGGGGAGTCAAACACATTTTTGGTATTCCTCATTCTCCCTCAGGTCAAGCAATCACTGAAAGAACACATCACACCCTGAAATCCCTTTTGGATAAACAGAAAAGAGGGGAGGCAGGTGCAACACCTTATATGCGGTTGAACAAAGCTCTGTATGTGTTGAATTTTTTAAATGGTTCTTTCTCAGAGCCCACTCCACCTATTGTCAGACATTTTACAAACAGCACACAAGCAAAACTAAGGGAGAATCCTTTAGTTTTGGTCAGAAACCCAGAGTCAGGACAAATCGAAGGCAAACAGTGATGCTGAAGACGCCTCATCAGACAACAACTGGCAACTCAGAGACTTGGGTTTTTTTCTAGGGAATTAAAGTGTTGCTACCTTGTGGGGTTTCTCACAGAGGGTGAGGACATGGACATGGGGTTCAGACAGATAGTGTTCATGTGCTTCATTCTCTTGCCTATTGCCTTGGGCAATAGGACAGACTTTCCCATGAGACAACCAAGGGAAAATGTGTGGGAGACTCTGGCAAAAGCAGTGGGTCTGGACAGCATTTGCCTGACCCATTCAAAACTGGGGAAACCATTCTCAACATGCTTGGTAGGTGTGCCAGTGGAGGAATGGCCAATCCCAAAACACATCCCTCCAAAGTTTCTGAAGTCTTTTTCAGATCCTGTGGAGGGATGGCATGTTTGTACACAGTATCTTCCTGTGGCTCACTTTGAACCTCCAGAATTGGACATCTTTGGGTCAACAAAAATGAAATTCTGTATTAAATATAACCCATTGGGAGTGGCAGAAACAGATAGCCACATAATAGATGTCACTCCAAACCAACTCTTTTATAGAAATGCATCATCCTGGTGTAATTACACCAAAATGATGAGCAAACCATCCCTCCAAAATCCAGCCATTTTACCAAAGGGAGTGTTTTTAATCTGCGGGGACAGAATTTGGCCTGCTATCCCTGCAAAAATAAAGGGTGGCCCATGCAGCATTGGGGAACTCTCATTGATAACACCTGATTTGGAAATTTTAAGGGAGCAGACACGCAGGGAAAAAAGATCCATTGAGCAATACAGTCCTAATTGTGATGATGAAGTTTATACCTGGGACAAGGCTCAGAGAATTGCAGTGGCAATTTTCTCACCTCAAGCAGCATCAGGGGTGGCATTGACACAATTGGAGCACTTGGCATGTTGGTTGAGCAAACACAGTCGTGCCATTTCCTCTGCAGTGAGTGACATGTTAACAAATATCGACAGTGCAAGACAAGCAACACTTCAAAACAGGGTGGCAATGTCGCCCTGATTCTTAAGTTTTTCTAAAGCCTTCTGAGTTTACATTCTGTTAGAAAACTTTCCCACACAATTTCTATAAACAACATATTGTACATATGTACTAGTAGTTTGTCCAATGTCTTTGGAGAGGTGGCTCATTCACTCTCCAATCCACTGTCACCTTTGGAAAAGTATAAAAGTTAGAATCAAAAAATAAACTTTCTCTTTTACCTTGCAAAATAGCGGGTAGCTCGTGTTGTGCTTTCACGTGTCCTATAGCGACATGGCAATTGATTATTTGCTGCTATCACATGGGCACGGGTGTGAAGAATTTAAGGGCATGTGCTGCATGAACTTGTCTGATCACTCAAAATCTATTCATGAAAAAATACAAAGCAGCATCAGCAAATTGAAAGAAGTTACAGGATCCTGGTGGGATGATTCCATTAACTTTTTTAATCTCTCACCATTGTGGAGGGAGTTTTTGAAAGTAGCATTTTATATTTTTATAGGGCTTCTAGTTCTTCTTGTTCTGCCATGCATTTTTCTGTGCATTCGACAGGCCATGAACTAAGTGGCAAAACAGGTGTTTCTGGTTCAAACAGGAGGGGGAGATGTTGGAACTCAAAATATCCCTCAGACATTTTTGGATGTCCCGGGCCCAGGTCAGAAGCATTTGAGACCCTGACAGGCAGCTGGAAACAGCTGTGATTTTGAGTTTGAGCCATGGAATGATTTACCAACTTTGCAGGAAGAACAAGAAGTCGCAAAAGTTTAGATATTATAGTAGAAGTAGGTACAAAGTAGAGGGAAGAATTTTTTAGTATTGTACAAGAGGGTTTTAACACCTGTACAGGGAGGTTTTTACTTTGTACATGGGGGTCAGAGGTTTTAAGATGGAAGAATTTAGGCCAGTCCTGTTCCTCCTCTTTCTTCTTCCTTACCTCCATGCTCCTGGTGATGTTGGCACTCACAGATTGGTTTAGAGTAGAAAAGCACCATTTAATATAGGTAATAGGCATTGGGGGAAAACTGTAAACATGTAACACGTAATGTACCATACAAAAGAGCAGCAGGCAGGGGCTGGGGGAGAGAAGACACCAGACAGAGAGGATGTCAGGGTGTGTGTGTGTGCCTCTGCCTGAGCTGTGAGCAAACCACAGCAGCCAGAGAAGAAAATCTTTTAGATAACTTGCAATAAACTGCCTTGAGACTGAACGACAAGAGACTGCTGAGCCTTTCTTTGGAAGCATGGGTTGGAGGAGAGACTTTTCCACCACACGGAATCCCTGAACCAGGCCTGGTGCCGACAGTGCCCAGGCAGAAAGGGACCTGGGGGTACTGGTCAACAGCCGGCTGAACATGAGCCAGTAGTCTGCCCTGGTGGCCAAGAAGGTCAGTGGCATCCTGGCCTGTATCAGGAATGGTGTGGCCAGCAGGAGCAGGGAGATCATCCTTCCCCTGTACTCAGCACTGGTGAGGCTGCACTTGAGTGCTGTGTCCAGTTCTGGGCTCCTCAGCTTTGGAAGGACGTTGAGATGCTTGAGCGTGTCCAGAGGAGGTAACAAGGCTGGTGAGGGGCTTGGAACACAAGTCCTATGAGGAACAGCTGAGGGAGCTGGGGGTGCTTAGCCTGGAGAAAAGGAGACTCGGAGGTAACCGTATCACTCTCTGTAACTCCCTGAAGAGTGGTTGTAGTCAGGTGGGAGTTGATTTCTTTCACCAGGCAGCAACTGACAGAACAAGAGGTCACAGTCTCAGGCTGTGTCATGGAAAATATAGGTTGGATATCAGGAAAAAGTTTTTCAAGCAAAGGGTGATAAAGTAGTGGAATGGTCTGCCTGGGGAGGTGGTGGAGTCACCATCCCTGGATATGTTTAAAGAAAGACTGGATGTGGCATTCGGTGCCATGGTTTAGTTGAGGTGTCAGGGAATAGGTTGGACTTGATGATCTTGAAGGTCTCTTCCAATCTTGTGATTCTGTGTTTTCCTGTTTTTCTCAAAGATTGTTTATAAGAAAGGTGTTTTTGTTAATTAGCCAATCAGGTGAAATGTATTGATTAATTGACCAATCTGGTCTCTCTGTACGGAACAGTGTATAAAAGAGAGATTTTCAAAGTAAAGCAAGATGCTGTGCAAACCAGCCTTCTGATGAGTCTGTGTCGTTTCTTACTCCACAGCGACAGAGGGGGAAGCTGCAGACAGCAGACCAGACTCCCTCAGAGGTCAGCAGCACCAAGCAGGGGCAGTCGCTTTCCCCAGCACCAGCAGAGGGTCTTACCCTGCAGGAAACCATGGATGAAGGAGATCCTCTCTGGCAGCAGCTGTGACAGCACAGACTCCCCCTCCTTGCTCCTGTGGCTGGAAGAGTGCAGGGTTTGTATTAACTCCTTCTGGAGGGATTAGACCAACACTGAGTTTTGTGCAGCAGGGTTTGCTGAGCCAGGGGCTGGCTCTGGGGCACTGCTCTGCCTTCTGCCCCCACACCAGGGCCAGCAGAGCCAGGACCAACTGCACAATGCATGGGAGTGGAATCCCCTGGCATCTCCTTGCTGGGAGAGCAGCTGGAGCTGGGCAGCCAACACCCCCCTGCACCGCTTCCTATTCTGCCTGCCAGCCCATCCAGCGTAGCACAGGGAGCTTGTGGTGGCCCCTCTGGCCAGGAACTACCACAGGGGCAGTCCATGCATGGAGCCTGGGGCTTTTCTTGCTGGATTTTGGGGAGGCCGAAGCTTCCTCTTGCTCTTATTTGTGACTACATTCCTCCTGAGCAACCACCAGTTCATGGAATATCCTGAGCTGGAAAGGACCCACAAGGGTCATTGAACCCAAGTGCAGCTCAGAAATGGCATGGCCAAAACCCACACCAATCATGCTTGATCAGCACTGCTTCAGTACTGTCACTTACTCCCAAAGTGCCAAAACCAGGATCCTGGCCTGGGACAGGGGCTGCCACGAGGATTTGCTCCTCCTCACAGATTTCCCCTCATGCCACCAGGAGCTCCTCAGATCAGCCAGCTGCTGTGGCAGCTGCCCTGCTGCCACCCCACTGTATCAGCAATGGCCAGGCCTCTTTAGAGAGCACACGCCACCAGGATCCCACTAATCCGAGCTGGAGCACAGACCAGGAGATTAACCAGGTCTGACTAAATATATCTGCGGTGCAGCTCCTTCCTCCCCACCCACTGCAGGCAGATCCCCGCTCCAGGCAGGCTCTCCTTGCCCTGCACAGGAGGTAATTATAGTTGACAGGCTCTCAGTGAGCCTCCCTCCCTCCAGAAGGGTTTGAGAGCAATGCATGGCAGCCTCACACACTCTCAATTTGTTTTGCCAGCTCCTTAACCACCAGGCTTTGTCCCACCTCTGATGCCCATAATGGCCTGTAAATGTTAGTTGCCCCTTGATCCCAGGGAACAAACACAATTCCTGAAGGAGGGATTCCTCCCACCCCTGCCCAGCACCCTCAGGTCCCAGGAATGAGCACACAGGCTCCATCCTGACCACACTCTACTCAGCATCAGCCTGACAAGGCAACAGAAGCACTTCATGAGGCAGAAACTGTCATTCTTTACACTGCTTTCCAGATACAAGGTTTCCTAAGAATCCCAAGGATGCCACTCAGGAAAACTTGCTGGGCTGTTCCCTCACCAGAGGGACATCAACAGAAATGAATAATCACCTGTGTAGCTGCAGGAACCCCGGTGCCACTGGCAGCAGCACTCAGGAGCTGCCCAGGAGCACCCAGATGTTAAGGGCCAGATGTGACAACATGCCTCAAATGACAGGAACTCTGACCAAAGCATTCCCTGGGCAGCTCTGTGGGACCCAACAGCTCTGCAGGCAGAGCAATGGCACAGAGGAGATGGAGATCCCAGCATCTCATATGCCAGAGGAGGAGTAAACACCCCAAGACCCCCACTGCCACCCTGCCCAAGACAGGAGCCCCTTAGCTCCTGGAGGCTGAGGCCATGGCTCCAGGGACAGACCCAGCTGTGTGCTTTGAAATGTGTACACAGCTCCCCATACTCACATTTTGTGGTTAATTCTGATGAAGTCACTACAGTCCTGGAGCTGGGACAGATCATTGAGGGGATCAGGACAAACCTTTGTGCTGTTCACCTAGAAATGGGGTGGGACAGTCAGAAGGCAGAAACCAAGACAATGCTGCACTCTGCCACTCGCCATCTCCAGTCATGGTAGGGGACAGCAAGAACTGGGTGGGAAAGTAAATCTATCCCTTCAAACCACCCCTTCCCAAGGAACAGATGAACATGATTCCCACAGCCCCACATCTGGGAGTCTGGCACAAGTCCCATTTATCACACTGCTGGAGCCCTTCTTCTCTGGAAAGGCTGAGGCCTGAGGTTGCTCAGCCTGAAGAAAAGAAGGCTCCAGGGAGACCTTAGAGCCCCTGTCAGTGCCTAAAGGGGCTCCAAAAGGGCTGAAGAGGAACTTTGGAAAAGGCCTGGAGTGACAGGACAAGAGGGAAGGGCTTCTCTCTGACAGAGGGCAGGGTTAGATGAGATATTGTAAAGAAATTCTTCCCTGTGAGGGTTGTCCACAGAAGCCGTGGCTGCCCTACCCCTTGAAGTGTTCAAGGCTAGGCTGGACGTGGTTTGGAGCAAGCTGGTCTAGTGGGAGGTCTCCCTGCCCATGGCAGGGCATTCTAGTTAAATGAGCTTAAAAGCCCCTTCTAACCCAAACTACTCTATGAGTTTTCACTTGGACACAGCAAAGCTTTGTGGAGAGATCCAACAACCCCTTTACAGTACAGCTGCTGCCTGCTTCAGGCTCAGCTCCATCTCCCAGGCAGTTTCCATGACCAGACCAAGCCATTCCAGCATTTGTGGTCACTCAAGGGTGAGCAAGGCTTCTCCTGCAAACACCCAGCTGCCCACAAACCGTAGGAACTTGGCTACCCTAGGACCTGCCCCAGCCACACTCCCTTCTGTGACAAGCCCCAGCATCATGCCCCAAAGCTGCCAGTACCATGTCCCATGTATTCAGCAAGCTCTGGCACAGGAGGGGGAACTTACCCAGTCAAGGAGAGCAGCAACTCTTACACTGTGAAGAGACATCATGGCCAGCCTATCAGGGCCCTGCCCAGACCTAAAACCAAAAAAAAAAAAAAAAAAAAAAAAAAAAGAATGAAAACAACAACAAAACCAAACCAAACAAAACAAAAAAAACACACACACACAAAAAAAGGAAAAATATAGTAACCATGTTACTAAACGACTCGTGCCCAGCACCAGGCATTTGTACCCACCAAGGGAGGATGTGTCCCTGCATCTGGGACATCCCAGCTGTTAGGGAGCAGCCAGCACCCTCCTGCTTCCCCACAGGCACAGAGTGGGAAGCAATGCTGAGCAGCAGCCAGGTCTACTCCCACAGATTAGGATCCTGACATGGGGTCAGTGGAAAACTGCTGCTCAGGCTCCTCATTCTCCTGCTGTGCCTTCTTCCCTCCCTCTCACCTCCAAATGTCACTAACATTTCTTGCCCAGCAAGGCAGTGGCCAAGCCATTGAAGTGCTGCCAGCTCCCCTTCCCACAGCTGCTAGTGAAAAAACCACCTGCTGAGGTACAGGGAGCTCTCTGGGCATCACTGCATTAGGTGGGAGCAGGGATGAGCTGCCCTGACAGGCTCTGGGATCACTGCCAGGTCCCCTTCACAGCGACCTTTGCCTCCACGCTGGCTGTCCCCAGTGCCACCCTGGTAGTCTTCCAGGAGAGGGAACTGCTGGCAGCCAAAAAGTCACCTAGATGAGGAGGGAGCTCCTCACCCTGTATTGCACCTGGACATCCGCACCATGACTACGGAGCTGCCACTGCTGCCAGCCCAGCTGGGAAGCTTGGGATCCTCAGCAGGACATGTCCTCCTTCTAATTTGCCTGAAACCCTTGTCCCACGGCTGGGTCACTCAGCAACTACTGTCACTCCACCTGGTGGCACAGCGAAGACCATTCCCTAAAAATCCACCCAAAGGGCACTCGAGCAGCACTGGGTACAGACCCTCGGAGAAAACCGTGTCCCACCAGCGTCTCGCTGGGTTTTACCAGAACCAGCCTGAAAACATTTAGTGTTTCCCGACACGCACACATACCCGCGGGCACGGATTCAATGGGAACCGGACCCTACGGGCCACCAGCTAGACCAGGGAGGAGTCGGGCGAGGAAGGGATGCTGCTGTTCCGGAGACCCTCGGAAATCATCTCCGCAGTGCCTGGGGAGGCTCAGGGCCGCGGGATGGGGCTGCCCCGAGCACAGGGAGAAGGTTTTTTCCAACCTGCGCTGGGGGATGCAAAGGAACCCGCGAGGAACGCGGCGGCCGAATGCCGCTGGCGAAGGCTCCGGCTTTGCCAAGCCCCGGGAAAGGAAGAACCAGTCCTTAGGGAAGGGGACCCGCCGAGGGAACCACCGGGACCCGCCGATGGAACCATTGGGACCTGCCGAGGGAACCACCGGGACCTGCTGAGGGAACCACCGGGACCCGCCGAGGGAACCACCGGGACCCGCCGAGGGAACCACCGGGACCCGCTGAGGGAACCACTGGGACCTGCCGAGGGAACCACCGGGACCCGCCGGGAGAACCACCGGGACCCGCTGAGGGAACCACCGCGACCCGCTGAGGGAACCACTGGGACCTGCCGAGGGAACCACCGGGACCTGCCTCGTGTCAGCTTTACCCTTACCGTAAGGCTGGGGAATTCGTGCCTGTCTTCATCTCCTGCATCGTGCCCGAAGCCGCGGTCCCGGAGCCGATAGCCTTAATCCCGGAGCCGGGCCGCTATCCCGGGGCCGAACCCGCAGTCCCGGGGCCGAAGCCGCTGTCCCGTGGCCAGAGCCGCTGTCCCGGTCCCAGAGCCGGAGCCGCAGTCCCGGTCTTGGAGCCGCTGTCCCGGAGCCGCAGTCCCGGAGCCGGGCCGCTATCCCGAGGCCGGAGCCGCTGTCCCGAGGCCGGAGCCGCTGTCCCGGAGCCGCAGTCCCGTGGCCGGAGCCGCTGTCCCGGTCCCAGAGCCGCTGTCCCGGAGCCGCTGTCCCGGTCCCAGAGCCGCGGTCCCGGAGCCGGGCCGCTATCCCGTGGCCGGAGCCGCGGTCCCGGAGCCGATAGCCGCGGTCCCGGGAGCCGGGCCGCTATCCCGGAGCCGCCGTCCCGAGGCCGAAGCCGCGGTCCCGGAGCCGCTGTCCCGGTCCCAGAGCCGCAGTCCCGTGGCCGGAGCCGCGGTCCCCGGTGTTATTGGAAGGCCGCCGGGCCGCCCCCCCGCTGCCCGCCGGGCCGGGCCGGGGCGGGCCGGGGCGGGGCCCGGCGCTCTCGGCGGACGGCGGGGGGCGCGCTCCGCCCGCCGCCGGGACAGCCCGAGCGCCCCTCTCCCAGAACATCAGCCCAAACACAGATAACTGCGTGGCTGTTGAGTCTAGCCAGGACTGCTGGTAATAAACTACTGTAGGGCGGCGCTGGAAAAACATCCTTGTTGTAGTTTCTGCACTGTAGGATGTCAGTGTAGAATGAGATTAAGATGAAGTGTGTAGTTTACAAATAAAACATTCTGATTATTTGCAAACCCTCTGACTTTGTACATTCCTTTCGACCGTGAGAAATTATGAATCTTAGCTGCTTGCTTCCCCTTAGCTGGGGAAGGAATCATCACACCTTTTCTGTCCTCTTGTCCTCTAGGTCCTATGGGACATGATCGAAGGGGTGACAAGGGACAGACAGATGGGTGTACTCCCCCCACCAGGGCATGGCTCCTGTATCACATCCATGCTGTGTCCAACAGAGAACAGTGGAGACAGGCACTGTGTGAACGTGGCTTCATCTATTGTGGGAAAAAATAATAGTAATTAAAGCCAAACAAACAACAAAAAAACCCCAACAAACCCCAAAATCAAACAACTAAAATAATGTAAAAAGGAGAAAGGATGGTGTTGGAGCCACCAGGCCCCACACAGAACATCACATCTGCCTGGCTCCAGCCCACCTATCCTGATGACCTGGCACATGGTGCTGACCCACACCAGGGCCTCTTTGCACCGGCTCTTCCCTTGGTGCTTGTCCCTGTGCAAGGCAGTGTCCAGCTGACACAGCCTTCCAGCTGACACAGCCTGCTCCCCACGCACCCCACACACACCCACACACACCCACACACACCCCCACACACCCACACACACCCACACACACCCACGAGGAGGAGAAAGCCTCAAGCAATGCAGGTGGGCTCAAAGTGACAATGATGTGCGCCTTGGCATTTAGTAGGAAACGGGATATCTGTCCAAGTTCTGTGGCAGCAGCATGGGGAGGGAAGGGACATAAAGAGAAAAAAAATGGGAATAAATCCAACCCAAAGTGCTGAAGCAGCAGTGGTGGGGGCAGGTTCAGGGGATGCCAAACTGTACAACCGGTTCTTCTTTGGCGTCGACACGGATCTGTGAGAGCGCACTGAAGGCATAGGCGGCTATCCAGGACACCTGCAGGCACAAAGACATGGCTGTGTCACTGGTGGCTGCTGAAATTCCCAATTATCCCAAAGAAACTGCTGCAGGAGGTTAACCTCCAGCCCTAAGGAGTCCCTAAGCCTGTCCTGGGCTTTGCTTCCACCTCAAACAAGGCTTTAAACCTGACCTAGGCTTTGCCCTCAGCTCTGACAAGTCGTGTCAGGGCTCTGGGCATTACTGCTCCTCCAGGACGAGGATGTGTCTCTGGGCAGCATCGCAGGGGCTCAGGGCTCACCCCAGCCCGGCTCACCTGCTGCAGGTCTGCGAAGGGGACAGGGTCGCTGGCGAGCACTTGGTGGGGCTGGTTAGTCAGAGATGGCAGCAGGGGCAGCTTCTTCCAGTGCGTCAGGTTGTTGCTGAGCATGGCCAGGCGTGTGCTGTGAGGGGAGAGCAGCGAACATCAGTGCCCTGCCAAGAGCGGGGACATCCAGAAGATGGGTGCTGCACCCCCAAGCACCTGAAACCCCCAGGGGGAGAGAGGGAGAGCCGTGGAGCTGCACTCCCAGCATCCAGCCCTCTTCATTCCCCGCAGCAGGAGGATGGGGGAGCTTCCAGCTCTCCCACACAGGCGCCTTGCAAGCAGAAGCCATCACATCCAGCCCCCGACCATCTGCCCCAAGGGCTGGGTGAACACAGGAGCCCCTTGTCCTGGGCTCTGCTGCCTGCACTGCCAACAACCTTCCCTGAGCAGGCTGCACCCTGCTCTCGGAGATGAGGCAGCCCTTCTACATGCTGAGTTCACTCCCCCAGGCCAAAACCCCTGGGACCTGCCCAGGGACACACACAGAGCTGTGAACTGCAGGCTGAACAGCCCCAGCTCCCTCAGCCTTTCCCCGTAAGAGAGATGCTCCAGTCCCTTCACCATCTCTGCAGCCTCCACAGGACCCACTCCAGGCTCTGTCTCTCTTGTCCTGAGGAGCTCAGAACTGGACAGAGTGCTCCAGAGGTGCCTCACCAGGGCTGAGTAGAAGGGCAGGATCACCTCCTTTGACTTGCTGGCAATGCTATTCCCAGTGCATGCCAGGATCCAATTTTTGCCTCCTTGGCCCATAAGGCACTGCTGGCTCAGGGACAGTTTGTTCTCCACCAGGACCCCCAGGTCCTTCTCCATAGAGCTGCTCCAGCAAGGCAGTCCCCAGCCTGTGCTGGTGTAATACTGAGAGCCCAGTCTGACTGTGATTTTCAATAAGCATCTGGATTAAACTTGTTTTGACTAAGGAAAAAAGTGGAATTTTTCACATTGAAGGGCCGGAGAGTGTTCAGAGAAGGGTAAAAGAGTTGGAGAAGGGCCAAGTCTGATAAGGAATGGCTGAGAGAGCTGGGGGCCCTCAGCCTGAACAAAAGGAGGCTTGGGGGACTCTTCTTACAGTACAAGGCCCTGACAGGAGGGTGGACTCAGGTGGGGGTTTGGCTCTTCTTCCACATATACATGACAAGAGAAAATGGCCTCAGGTTGTGCCAGGGCAGGTTTAGGATGGACCCAGCTCCCTCAGCCTTTTCTCATGAGAGAGATGCTCCATCCCTTCTTCATCTCCCTAACCTCCACTGCAGCTGCTCCAGGAGCCCCATGTCTCTCCTGTCCTGAGGAGCCCAGGACTGGACACAGAACTCCAGATGTGCCTCACCAGAGCTGAGCAGAGGGGCAGGATTGCTCCCTGACCTGCTGGCAATGCTCTTCCTAATGCCTCCTTGGCCACAAGGACCCTGCTGGCTCAGGGACAGTCTGTTCTCCACCAGGACCCTCAGGTCCTTCTCAGAGATGCTTCTCTCACCTGACCCTTACCTTGGTACTCAATCAAAAAGGTTTACCAACAGACTTGCATGTGGAAATTAATCCATCTTCTGACAAGCAGGATCAGGGATTTTCTAGTGCCCACTTACTCACAGGCCCACTTGCATACACAAGCAATGATGCTACTGACTTTTTCCCCTCCTGAGCCACTAAATACTCAGAAAAGCTCAAGTCTCTACTCATGCATTTGTGGAGGGGCTTTGGAACAGCTGGACGATATGGAAGAAAACAATAAAAAACAATAAAAACACAAATAAAACCAACCTGTCCTATGACACACAGTTATCACTACACCTAGGCCAATCAATAACTCTGAACTTTAGCTTATTTCTCAGCTTGAGTTTAAAATCAAACCTAAACCTTTCTTCATGTTAGTTATGCCTTCAGCTCAGCTACAGAAGTTACTCCATTTTCACTTCAAGAGCTAAAAGCACAAAGACTTTTAACTTGTGTGTGTGTATCTTCCGCTCATCCCATCCTCCCCCAAATTTTTTCAGTGCAACTCAGCAACTTTCAGCTACTCAAATGCAGCCCTGCAGTATTTTTGGCAGAGACTAAGATTTCTTGTCATGGTAGACTGATACAAGTTTAAAGAATACAAAGGCTGTTCTGATTTATTATGTATCATTACTACTTGCATTTCAGAATTAAAACACTTTATCAGTCTGATCCAACTTTATAAAGAAATCGTAACAAGGCAGTGTAGTATTACAAATTTATTAAGTTTTGGCAAAGTAGTGTTTCAGCATTGAAAATTTCACACATATAAAACAACTTCTATGCATTAAAACCAAAGTATGGATTATTTTTCTAATTTAAAGCAAGTGCTGTGCTTTTTTAAACATCTCATGAACCAAATTCTTCAGTTACAAAGCTGATAAAAATAAGTGATACACCACTAGATTTTTTTTCTTCAACATGTGAAATTCATCTCTTTGGGAAACAATACTTTTTAAAATTGTATCATGAAAGATACAGACCTGAAAAAGGATAAACAATCATACACAAGGCATAAATGTTACACAGAGTAACTCAGACATTTTATAAAGAGATCTGGAAAAGTACCTAAAATAGTGATATTTATTTAGTATAAAATTTCAATAATAAAATATTGCTCATAATAAATAAGAAAACATGAGTTTCGTTAATACTGTTCTCCCCTTAAAGCTCTCTTGGATGTAACAGGATCAGACCTGATCAAAAGTCTAATATTTATTTTGTCCTCCGTATGAAGGAGGCAGGTTTACAGGCTTCAGGTCATTCTTTGCTAGAAACAATTTTATTATAAACAAAACACAGAATTCATTTCAGGGCTCATGCGTAGTTATGGGAAAAAAAATAATACTCCCCAAATGTGAATAAACCTTATTACAGTAGATTTTAATACCCAAAATAGTTGCTCTTTTTGTTAAACCCAAAGTGGAATAAGACTTGCTGCTGCCCAAGTTTTCTCAAAAGCTTCTAAATATTGGTGCAGCTGTACTTAATGGTTACCAACGCTGTTAGGGACAGTTTGCTCTAGGGGGAGGGGAGTTGTTTCCCTTTATATGGGGATGTTGGATTTCATGCCTGCTCTTCCCATCTGCAGACAGGGCAGTTTGGAGCAGTTCTTCAGCAGCTGCTCGATGGCGATGTGGCGCACGTTGAGCTCCGAGGCCAGGGAGTCCTTCTCCTGGACCTGCTGTGCCAGCTCCTCAAACACATCTGCAACAACAGCTCTGGGTTAATGCACTTGGTCCCTGCACTGACACAGCCTCAGGAAGCAGTGACAAACAACACTGGGGAAGAGGCACACACATTTAAGTGGGATCATGCACAGGAGCTCTGCTTTTCCTGGCTCCAGCACAGCTTTGTATGCATTGCAAACCGAACAGCATCACTTCATTTCTACTTATAGACAACCTGAGCTAAGGTGGATCAATTTAGAACTCAAACCAAAGCTGCCTCTGGCCTGTATCAGCAGCAGTGTGGCAGCAGGACCAGGGCAGGGATCACCCCCCTGTGCTGGGCGCTGGTGAGGCCACACCTCAAATTCTCAAATCAAAAATGTTCAGTTTTGGGCTCCTCACAGCAAGGACATGGATGTGCTGGAGCGTGTCCAGAGAAGGGCAACAGAGCTGGGGAAGGGTCTGGAGCAAAAGCCTGATGAGGAGCAGCTGAGGGGGCTCAGCCTGGAGAAAAGGAGGCTCAGGGGAGACCTTATAATTCTCTACAATTGCCTGACAGGAGAGTGGAGACAGGTGGGAGCAGGCTCTTCTCTCAGATAATAAGTGACAGGATGAGAGGAAATGGCCTTAGTTTGCACCAGGCAAACTTAGATTGGATATTAGGAAATATTTCTTCATGGAAAGGGTTGTCATGCGCTGAAACAGGCTGCCCAGGCAAGTGGTGGAGTCACCATCCCTGGAGGGATTTAGCAGGCATGGAGGTGTGGAACCACTTGGTTTTGTGGGAGACTTAGCAGTTCTGTACTTAATCTTAAGGATAATTTTCAACCTTAACAATTCTATGGTTCTAGTCAAATTCTTAAAGAGAATGAATACTGTGCCAGTTTGCAGCACCAAAGCAGATTACATAATGAAAGCACCTAGAAATCTCTCTATATCACATATTTCCATGCAAAACAAGAGACTTCAGTTAGAAACTTATATGACAGAAAGGCAATCAAAATTACATTTTTAAAACCAGACATTTTTTATGATAAAGCACCACAAACCCAAAACAAAGAGTATTGAAAAATTCTCACCCTGGATTTGCTTGAGCAGTTTTTCATTAAGTTGCTTTAACTCTCCTAGAGTCATCGTAGTCACTGCAACAATAAAATCTGTTATTACTACTACCATACTCCTACCAATCACATAAGCATCCCTAAGCAGACTCGTATTTTCTCAGTATTTCTCCTATTTGCATCCTAATAATCAACAGATGTGTGGCAGTAAGCCAGAAACAACAGTATTTATCAGTGATGTGAGGAAAGTTTGGAAATTCTCTTTCTAATGTTGACACAGACAAGGATTTACTCAATTAAAAAACCCTCTCTTCAATGTCAAAAAGGTGGAAAACTAAGCCCTGAAAAGCATTCAGAATCAAAACTGCTTGGCACATGTAAATACTATACCCTACTCTGATTCAAAACATGATTTTCCCAGTGTAACCCATGAAAGCACATCTGTTTAGTTGTGTGCAATTAAAAGGGGACAAATCTGAAGGAAGTCCTGCTATGTTTTCCAGCCTGCAGGAAGCAGCTTCCGACAGAATTTTCAGCATGTGGCTCCCTGTTTTGGTTATTAAGGTTTGTGCTTTATGCATACAGGAATAACTTACACAGTTTCCACTGAATATCTCACTGACAAATGACGAAGGACAATCCTGGCTTGATATGAAGAGCAGCATATAAAAATAGGTTTCCCTCTGTGCTCCTGGTGAGAACTATAAGATCCTCTGTATCATTCAAAAACCCTTCTGTGTCTCAGGTTGTGTGCATTGATCATCCTCACAGAAAATACACATTAAGCCTCAGAGGAGGGAACTGTGACAGTGCTCTTCACTGCCCTTGATCAACAGCAGGGAAGCACTGGCTTGCTTCCTGGGATTCCCTCAACCCTGCA